CTATAGTATGCATACTTCATGAGAAAACAGAATGCCAATAACAAAGAAACTACATTTTAACACTATCAACTACAAATAATATTGTGCACATCGCGCTGGTTTCATACTGATTACTTTGTAACATAATATTTGTTTTTGTCGTTACTTACTTCGTTTAAAAGTAGAAATGTTAAGCTTTCTATAGATATATCTCTCATGTGTGTGTGTCAAATATTCGCTGAGTTTCAGTTCATTTTAGTGACGTGTTTCAAACAGATATGCGCAGAGAATGAGACGGCTAAAAGCACACACTGTTTATTTTCTTTATTTTGCAAAAGCACAGTGTTTTGTTGATATTGTGAGTGTACACAAATAAAAGTAGACCCTTTACAGATTTAAATGCTGTATTACTCTTATATGTACGGTAAAGTATGAAGGAGCATTGTAATTTTATAAATAACCACCAGAGGGCATCCAAGCTCTATGGTATATCTCCTCACACTGCAGCTGTGAAAACACTTTCAGCATCTGCAAAGAGAAAACATATGGTCCAGCCTGATTTGTAACACCGATAGAAACTTTTTCACCGGGACTAAACACCAACAGTGGTATTGCCTTAATCTCATAGTATAAAAGTCTCAACTTTTTTATCGTTTTAACTAACGACAGAGAAACTATCAGAGAAATATAGATCCATGACTAATGAGAAATATTTGCTCTTGTCTCTGTACCACATGTGCAAACACGTTAATGTGTTTTTTTGCGTGGCCTTTTGAACTCTGTACCATATGTGAAAATAGTTTAGGAATGCCCTCATTACAGCCATGACAGAAGACAATATTTTTCATCGTCACGGATAGACTAGCGGTGTGTTTACATAAACATCTTAAAAGGAGATAGATCGCTGTGTGTAGGAAAAGGCCTGTCTCTCGGAATCCAAGGGGTAACTTTTAGTTTTTTCAAGTAGAACCATTTTCATCGTCCCCCCTCCCCTTTCAGAACTCTTGCAACTTGGTGCGAGAAACGCTTGGGGAGAGAGAGAAATACAGATGATCTCAAACTTAAACCAAGCACAATTTTGGAAAGCATTTCATTCACGGAACGGTCATCATCGCTCCCAAAATAATGAAAGGGTATTTATATTTTTTATTGATTTATTTTCAATTAATTATTCATTCATTCATATGAGAAGAAACTTTTTATTCAGTATTATATGCACCAACACACACACACACACACACACACATATTGTGATACGCTCTCATGATCTGTTAAAATTGTTTATTCTGTTTATTGTTCATCAACACGTCCTTGTTTTTCTCACAGCTCCCATAGAGAGAGAGAGAGAGAGAGAGAGAGAGCATGACACACAGCAACCTGATACCTCGGACACGTAAGACACAGATGCGTCCGCAGATGAGTCCGGATATGGGAACGGACCATAAAATCTTCAAAAACATTCCTCAGTACTTCATTTATGGTTTTGACATCCGCTGGACACTTACATACATCTGTTCAAACAACATTTTTCATCCCCCGGAGCTCAAAGGTTGACTGCTGAATTTCACGTGCACCGATTTTCGCATATAGAAATTATTATGACGTCAGCGGGCACATATGGATATGATTATGAGGTCAAAAGTTCAAAGTCATCAATCAAGTTGTCATAAGCTCCCGGTTACTTACTACTAGCAGGTAACATATTTATACTGGTCAGATGAAGTCTGAGCATTGAAACATACGCAACTAAGATTATTGAATAAACTATGCTCCTTTTTTTAACTAATGCTTTTTTATGATTTTGTATGCTAAAACGTATATTTGAACTAATGATTTGACGTCGCAAAAGTTTTCCCGCTGTGTGTGGAGTTTAAAGACGCTCCCTTAAGCACTACAGGTGTGTGGAGTGACGCCATCATTGTTTTTTGCGTCTCAAATAAAAAGTTAAAAGACCCGCCGTTGCATATTAGCAATTTTTTCGATGGCTGCTTTGTTGAATTCGGGGATATGTTAAACGTTTTTCTACTGAAAGCATCGCCAAAGCATTAAGTCTTTCCTGGGACATTGTGTTTCTCAGAAATGTTTGAATTTGTATAAGTGTGGAGAAACATCTCTCAGACTCTGCAGTTGTCATTGGAGTTGTGATTAGTACACGTAGGAGTTTCACTGTTTATGTGAGCACATCGTTCAAATTATTTCTGTTTATAAATGTGAAAAATGTGGTTGCACCTCCGCACGCACGGAAGTCTGAATTGTCATAAATCAGTAAGAGCTCTGTGTGGAGTCGTTGTTGTTTTTCAAGACCTCTTTAGGGATTTTTTTTTTTTTTGAAAATTCACAATAACGCGAGTTGTCAAATAAGATTGCAGCCGACAGATGACCTGTGAAATCAAACCTCTCTTTGGAATTGGCTATTATTGTGTCGCAAACTTCATATGCGATCTGCTGTGAATTGGTGCGCACTTTCGTTTAGGCTGAGCATCCGTGCCAGTAGGCTATATTTTGCGCACAGAGATGGAATATCATCATGCATTTTGCCTATGGAATCCACAAAACTTCTTGTAACTCTGTGTGCCTCTACTGCGTCAATTCCTCACATTTGAAGCTGTGCATAAAGGATGTCAACACGGGGCATAATTGAATGAAACAGATCCAAAAAGAAGAGAAATTTGTGATCGGAAAGCATTCGACAAAAACCTTTAGCCTCCCTAACAGTGATTGAATCAAAGCCTTGAGATGACTGGATAGATTCAAAACATTCCAATAGAATGGCTTGATTTTCATAAACTGTACTGACAGCATGGCTGCTAAAATTCCATTGTGTCTGAGATGACCGTGGTAGCCGTTTCCCTACTATTTCATCCAAAACTGCTATTCTTTTTGGGGATCTCGAGAAAAATAAAGATGAAAAACCACCAAGATCAGAGAAGAAACATCAGACAGGTGCCATACCGGAAACAGCTTGCTCCATTATCAGATTTAATTGGTGTGCATAGCAATGCACAAAATGTGCATTCAGGTAAACGTCCTGTAATTTCTTATGCACTCCTCCAGATGCTCCTCTCATCACATTAGCCCTGTCAAATGTTTGTGCAATAGGCCTAAGTCTCCCCTTGTCAAATTCACTGTCAGGAGAGCAAACTACACGCAACTGCTCTAACAGCACCTTGGAGATTGAGTCGGCATTCGTGTGACCGTCAATTGTTTTAAAACCAAAAAATCTCTCTTGAACAGTGTTAACTGGATCAATATAACGGAACACTACTATGAGTTGGCAGTGAGTTGATATGTCCGTGGTTTCGTCACACTGTACAGACAGAAAATCGTTTTTTTTTTTTCAGCTGACCTATAATGTGGCCAAGCATGCAGTCCAGTAAATCGTTCTGAATGGTTTTAGAGGTACCCTTAAAAACTGTGGCGTGCTCAAGATGTCCCTGCATGATATTGTCAAGGGAAGCAACAAGATCCACAAGACCTCTGAAAACACTGGGATTGTCGGAGGTTTCCGTCTCATCATGCCCTCTTAGAGCTAACTCAAATGCTCCGCAAAAACGTATACAGTCAATTAACTTTGAGAGAATGTGCCTATTTTTATCCACTTCCTTATTGTGGTTTCGCACACCAACACCATAGCTCTCATTTAAATGTGTTGCTATATTAGCTTGTCCAATCATACAATAATATAAAATCATTAGCCATTTATGATATTTATCATTTGATTATTTTTTAATTCCTTCTATTATTTAATAATATATTATTGTCATGTTTTTATGCTTCAAATTTCTTATTTTTCTTGATTATGCATTTTTATTGTTTAACCTTATGATTTGGGGGGTTTATGAACTGTTTTATCTTCATGGATAAGGGATGAGGGAATTCTTTATGAGAATTCAAAGTTCATGGGATGTTGTTGTGAAGAAGTTAACATGTATTTATACTCTGCTCCTTTTTTGTACAAATGCTAGATTTTTTTTTGAAAAGACTGATTTTCTGTGCTAAAACGTATACGTTGTTTGAACGAATGATTTGACATCACAAACGTTTTCCCGCCGTGTGTGGAGTTTAAAGACGCTCCCTTAAGCTCTACAGGTGAGGAGTGACGGCGCCATCATTGTTTTTCGCATCTCAAATAAAAAGTGAAAGCAAATGTTCAGAGTTGATGTTTCTCCATTTAAACAGCCAGAATCTATTCTATACAGAATATCACAGTGTTTCATAGGAACCTTTATCAAAGCTAAGCCATGGTTTACGTGTAGCTGCTTCATAGAAAGGCGGTGGATTTTGTGAATCTGTGTAAATAAGGTGAGTGCTGATGCTCAGGTGCTTTACAATGACTTCAGCATTCATATTTCCTCTAAAGGACGTATATAAAAATATACGTCCTCTAAAGGACGTATATTTTTATATGTTTTAATATTTTACTTTGCAAGCAGATGAACATGGTTTGATTGGTGTTTGGTGTTGTCTGTGGTGTATTTGATCATTTGTTAACACACGACTAACATTGTGTATCTGAGTGAACGCCGCGTCTCATGATCTGTTTCTCTCAGGATCCGTTCAGCTGAATTATTGAGTTTGTTTGTCATTTCTATTCAGAGTCAGTGCTGGAGATCAGATTCTGCTTCATCATGGATGACACACAAACATCCACAGATGAAGAGTTTTCTCCAGGATCCAGGTACTTTGAATAAACACTGTATGAAATCACCTTTAATGATGGTAGATGGGAGTCTCCTTCGTGTTTATGTGTCTGGAGGTTTTTAAGTTAAAATGAAGATTTTATTTAAAAAAATAATAATAATAAATAAAAAAGCCTCCTCATTAAGTGTTTTTGATCATAAAGGATTAAATCTGTTTTCTTATAGTTCAGTTCAGCAGAAGAGATCAGAAGCAGAGTCCAGCTGTGTGTCTATGAGGAGTGAGGAGTCTATGGGTCATCCAATACAGTTTAAGAGTGGAGATACAAAGACTGATCTCAGGTACATTTTTATCTAAATATTACTATAGCATGTCATTTTATATGGTCAAAATAGTGTCTGTAGTATTTTGTTTACAATATATGAGAAATTCTTCTTGTACATTACTAAATGATACTTTTTATCTTTATCTCATATTTTGTCATATATAGTGTTACACAGAGAGATGCATTTGTGAAAGCACTCAGTTTTATTGAACATATTTTGTGATAAAATAGTCTATATGAAATGGTCCTGAAGTGCTTTTTAAAGTGATTGTTTAAATATGTGAGTATGTACTTTGAATATGTTAATTCAAATGACTGACTTTAATCTCTCTCTGTTATAGTTCAGTTCATCAGAAGAGATCAGAAGCGGAGTCCAGCTGTGTGTCTATGAGGAGTGACAGGTCTATGGTTCATCCAATACAGTTTAAGAGTGGAGATACAAAGACTGATCTCAGGTACATTTTTATATAAATATTATTATAGCATGTCATTTTATATTATCAAAATAGTGTCTATAGTATTTTCTATAATATATGTGAAATTGTACTTGTACATTGCTAATTAGGTATGTCAGAATCAGAATCAGAAGAGCTTTACCAAGTATGTTTACACACACAAGGAATTTGATTTGACGACAGGAGCTTCCAGTGTAGAAGAAAATATGGATATAGTGCAGACATACATATGAATAACACAGTAGGGATGGAATATAACACTAATATAAGAAAAAAACAGAAATTAAATAATGTACTATATACAGAAATAGAAGTATAGGAAAAAATGTAATTGTTTAGATAAATGTACAGATATGTTATAAGTGTGCAGATATGTTATTTACAAAGTGTGCAGTTTTCAAGTGTACAAATTTTGGATTCTGTGTATAAATATGTCAGTTGTGATGGACGATGTATAATTATGAAAGATTAATTGTTCAAGCTGAATATAGCCTTCGGGTAACACTGTTCTTGTGTCTGGCTGTTCTGGTGGTCAGTGCTCTGTAGCGCCGAACAGAAGGCAACAGTTGGAAGAGAGAGTGGGCTGGGTGTGAGGGGTCCAAGGTGATTTTCTTAGCTCTTTTCCTCACTCTGGAGATGTAAAGATCTTGGAGGCTGGGCAGAGGGGCACCGGTAATCCTCTCAGCAGTCCTGACTGTCCGCTGTAGTCTCTTGATGTCTGATGTTTTGTCTTTATCTGATATTTTTACTAGTGCTGTCAATCAATTAAAAAAATAACTATTTAATTGTAATTTTTTTTCTGAAATTAATCACAATTAATCCCACCTAACATTAAAGTTTTTAAATATACTTTTATATTGAAATAATTTTACATTCAGTCTTGAAATTAATGTAGAAACAACATGAAGACAGTATATTTTTAATATTTGTTTTATGTCATCTTTATGACTGAAGGCGAGTATCACTGATACCAATACCATCATATTTTCTCACAACTCTTTACCTTTTCTGACCCACTTCATGTCTGAAAGTCTCTATAATGAGCTGACGAGTTGAATCGGGTGTGTTAGATGAGAGAGCTGCAGTGCTCCAGGACAGTTTTGAAAACCACTTCATTTCAGAGACATGTTATTAAATGTCACTCATATATAACAAATACTTGCATGCACAGTTTTAGGCAGCTTTAGACCTTTTGAGTGGAACAAATTGGGATTTAGCGCAAAGAAACACTGGACACTGAGAAAGATGTAATCAATCTGAAACGTGATCCATAACAGGCCTAACCATCCCTGAGCTTAATAGAGCTGTTAATGTTGATGTGAGATGGGCAGAGTATTTCATCTTCTGTATTTAACTTGGGGTTATAATCTTGATTTACTCTTTGAAACAAGACATAGAGGAGAGCTAGTTGTCACAAGATTTTTACAGTAATCAAGGGTGCCACAATCATGGTGCGAGGCCACCCTCGATCAATTCAGTTTTATTTTCTTAAATACATGAACATGTTTTAACCATCAGTGGTGTAGTAAAATAAAACTTCTGTACATCTGTAAGTAGTCAAATAAAACTGTGATGATCCCAAATTGATCGAGACCCAAAGAGGCTTTTAATGGAATAAAGAAAAGTGGTAAAAGAACTAGAATATTTAGTAATGCACACAGAATTCTTTTTTTTTTTTTGTTACCCAGAAACCGCTGGTAAATTTTACAAACATCAGGGCTAACTACAAAGGATTGGCAAGTAGCACATTGAATTATACGTCAAATTTAACTAAAATATCATTTTTTTGTAAAACGTACTACAGTAAAATAATAAAAACCATGTTCTTTCTGAAATTACAAGATTTCACAATTAAAGAAATGGCAAGTCACACTGAATTAAATGTGAAATGTTTAAGTAGAATAATAAAATCGTGTTTTCTTGTAAAACATACTCAATAAAATTTGTTTTATTTACAACCTAGATTTTTTTTTACAGTGCATTTACACTCTTAAAAATAGAGGTGCTTCAGGATGCCATAGAAGAGCCTTTTTTTGTCTACAAAGACCCTTTGACTGAATGGTTCTTTGTGGAACCAAAAATGGTTCTATGGCATCGCTGTGAATAACCTTTTAAGCACCTTTACTTTTAAGAGTGTATTGCAAATACTATTTTTATATTAAAACATGCACACATCCGCTCTTAATCATATGCACAAAATGCTAAAAATGGCTCATTTCTGTTTCTTGTTTCATTGCATTCAATTACGAATTACATGAATCACATCAATTAAATTATATTTTCTATTCAAAATGGCACCATTTGACAAGAAAGTCGAGTAGTTTTTCGGATATAGTCAGTTTCTGCACAGACACAAGCTTTAACATCCTGACTACAAAAAACTCTTGAACATTTCCACCGCTGTAGCTCAGTAAAAAAGTAGCTCATTTAACCCACTGTTTTGATAGTTGCTGGAATTAAATAAAGCCGTGATGGTGTTGCTCCAGGATCAGCAGCTGAGCTTCAGCACACCCTCAGCACTGGACAAACATCTCAGCGTTTCACTGGTGTGACATTAACTGCTTCACCAGGTCAAGAAGAAGCCCATGTTATTGGCCACCTTCTCAGACTCCTGCAGATAATTCAATATAGCAATATTCCAGTAGTCTCTCTCCAGGGAAATCTGATAGGCTTCATCCACACTATATTTTGTCTTGAGGAACACAGGAGACATCTTGCTTCCTTGTGTGAAATAAGCTGGTGCTGGAGTTGGTATTATTATTTCTTCTGCATTTTATGATTCTTGATCCTACTATATAAACTTTTAATTACCAAAACCTGCATGATTAACTTATGTTTGGATAATGAAGGTTTAATTTGCTTTGATATGCTGGATACAGAATACAAAGTAAAATGTTCACATAAAAATCTCACTAATATCTCAACTGTTTCTCTTATGTCATTAAATGGACATTAAACTTCAGCTGAAATATCTTGCTTCTTAAATGTTTCTTATGAAAAGACACATAAAAAGACATAATCTCTGGTTTGTCTCCTCACTTCTTTAGACAAACAAATTAGATAGATCGCGATCTAACAAACTGCTCCATATAACAAAGCACTGTAAACAAGCAACGACTAGATAACTTGGCAACAATAATTAATCATAAATAATCTTTAAAGTTTTTTTTTGTTCTTTTTATAATGCAGATTATTCACTCAGTGCCAGCTGTCAGTCTGGGGCTGCACACTTCTGCACGTGTATGGACTCGAATGCCGTGATAGCGTATCACACATAAAATCAGTAACAGTTCACAATTAAATTCTTTTCCTACCTTTTC